GTATGAAATATTGGCAACGACAATTAAGTTTAAAAAAGTACTTCCTAGGTTGAAAGAAAGGGATTCAAGTTATCATTATTGTCCATAGGACGAGGATTGGGAGAAAGTGTGTGACATTTTAAAGGTTTTTAGTCGTACAACCAATCTCATTGGTGGGATTGATTATCCAACATCTAATTATTTCTAAAGGAGGCCTGTCTAGTGAAAATGATGCTAGATAATAAGACTGAAGACGGAGATGAGTTCATTAGAAACATGGTAAGGAAGATGAAGGAGAAGTTCAATAAATATTGGGGAGAATGTAATGTGTTGATGTTTTTGGCTAATGTATTGGATCCTCGATTGAAAATGAGAGTAATCAATGGGCCTTCCCCAAGATGTATTATGAGTTAGAAGCCTGTGCAAATACTGTAACTATTCAAGATGCACTGTATGAGCTGTATGGAGAGTATGTTGAAGCTAATAAAGCTTCTACTATTTCCCGTGGGCCTCCAGTAGTGGGGATGAAGTTGGAGCCGTTGGTGAGGAGGCAACGGTCACGGGAGCTACGAGTTAGGATGATTTTAGTAGTTTTCTAGATGTGGTGGAGACTGTTGAGCCAAGTAAGTCTGAGCTAGACTGTTATTTGGGAGATGGGTGTCATAAGTGCATGGGGGATTAGGAGGCATTTGAAGGTGGAAAGCAAATTCAACCAAGTACCCTATATTGTATATAATGGCTCGTGAGATACTAGCCATCCCGATCACTATGATTGCTTCAGAGTCTGCATTAATTATCAGGAGTAGGGTTATTGACAATTATCGAGCTTCTTTTCTCTCGACATGGTAGAAATGCTCTTATGTGGATGTGATTGGTGTTGATCTTTGAATGGAGTGAAGAAATGGTGCAAAGTAAGTTTCATTGATTCTATTTTTAGTGCAATTCAATATTTGAAATTACTTTATGTTAATCTAAACTTAATTTTTATTTCTTATTTCATTTCAGAAAGAGCATGAGCACTTGGAGATTGTTCTTCCTATCCCATCAATTGACGACAATCAGTAGATTGTTTGATTCGCCTGCATGTCATTGGCCGTGGTAGCAGGATTGTGCACGTTTGACTTAATTGATTTTTTGTTTGGGTTTGCATATTCATCTTTATGTACTTATGTCCTTAATTGATTTTTTGTTTGCAGAAGTGGGGCAAGAATGGTTTTGGGACGTAGCTCCCAACATACAACCATATTTTTTACGAAACATTTTGAGCTTTTGGGATTAAATTTGTATATAGTCCCGTTTTTGTTTTGATGAAAGATGAATTAAGTAAAGTGAATCAAACACTTTAGTTTACTTCACTTAATTTGTTGAAACAGAACCAGTATGGTAAATAGTATGATGAAATGATCACATGTGGAGATTGAGTTGTTTGCCAAATACATGCAAGTTTACTTTTGTGTTGTCAAATAGTTTGTGGCATTAAAATGGAATATACTATAAATGAAGGTCCCCGGCATTTTTTTTTATGTTTATTTTGTAAAGCGATTTAGTTGTTGTTTTAATGTATCAGGACATAAAATGGGTTGGATACCATGTAAAACCAAGTCTGGTTTAATTAAAAAAATTGTTTGTTTTTGTGCCGACTCGCGAGCCAAGCTCGATTCCCCCTTAACCCTTCATGAATTCGAGTCAAACTAGCTATCGATGACTCGGCTCGGCTAGGCTCGAACTCGTTTATCCCTTCTCCCTCATGAGCCAAGCTCGTTTAGCTGAATACTCGGGTTGGCTCAGCTTGGCTCGTTAACAGCCCTATTGGTAACGCAACAAGATAGAAAAAAATAATTATGATTAAATTGTCACTTACCTCCCTGAACTAATTATTTTTACATTTGAATTAACCATTAAGAGAACTTTACTTATCATTCTCTTTCACTCATTCCATAAAAAAGATGTTAAATTTCTTCATTACTTCTTGAATCAGCCTAAGTTATACGAAAAAAAAAAAAAAAAAAAAATTTGAAAGATCTAGAGAGAATATAAATTAGTGAGTGACACTTCTTGTCCAGTAAGGTATTATTATAATACAAATTTTAGAAGAAAATATTATTTATTACAACTTTAACTTTTACATATCACATTTTTCATAATTTTAGTATTTTAAGTTACTTAGACATCCCAACTGCTGACTTCTGCTTTTTATTTATTCAAAAATCAAACTTTAAATAAATTATAATCCCAACCTCAATCTTGCCTCAAATATGACCGTTAGATCTAAAAAATATAACATAAATATATAAGTAGTGTACGCTACAAATTTAGCACTAAAATAGTTAAATATGTTGTTCATTAATCTATATAAGAAGAGCTAATTATAATTCCATAGAGGTACCACTAAATTAAACTTTTCCATCGGGTATTTAAACTGAAATTATAATTTATCTCCTACATTCATTGTTTACCCTTGAGCAGTTTAATTAAATAATAATTAAAAAAAAAAAACTAGGGTAAGGGGAAAAATTATTATTTCAGAAACTTGGGTGAGAACTTATTATTTAGTGACACTGACTCATATGATAAATGAACTGACTCATATGATAAATGAGTTTATATCTATCTTTTCAATAAGTTTATAGGTAAATTTTTTAAGATTATAAAGATGACTTGTAATAAAATAAAATTAACAATGAAATTTAAAAGAGGCATTTGTCTTTAATTGAATCTATAAATTAAAATTTTGAGGTAAAAAAAGAAAAAAAATTCTGTTTCAACAATATTAATATGTATATAGCAAAATCCCTATCATATGTTGTGATCATAATTCATACATTTAAGTATATTATATTTAAATTTAAATCTATAAAATATTAAACAAGATGGAAATTAATTTATTTGTGTGGTGAAGTGAGCACATCTAATTAGATTCCATCTTTCTCAACTTGTCTTCGTTTCCATGGGACCACCTGTTTAAAGCTTTCACAAATGCTTCTTTGCAGTTACCACAAAATTTAATTAATTACATAATTAACTTAATTATAACATTAATTACTAGTAAAATCAAAAGTAATTTTCACTAGGAAATCAAACTACTTTTTCCACTCCGCCCAGAAATTCAATGCTCTCACCAATCAAATTCAGTCTTATTAATTATTATTATTTTTAAAGCTAGATTAATGGATGATATACAATTGGTCAACTGTGGCTTAGAACATTTAATTGAGAATTAATTCTTGGACAATAAAGTTAAGCTAAAAGATCATGAGGACCAAACTTTTCCAAGAGCATGAGCTCATAATATGAAACCCGCATAGGGATATTGGAAATTATTATAGACCTCATTTTAAGCAATTGATCATTCATATTTATATGAAACAAACCCCTCCACAATATTTCGACGACTCTCTAGTGCCACCTCAAGCCCGACAACTTTCATTGCCTTCTCCGCAAGTCCACTGGATTGTCAGTGGCTTACAACACAAGATTTGACTCTCGTATTTGTGATCGTAGATTTTACCGTCTATAAATATAACCTTTAATTAATATATATATGAAGCATATGCATATATACTTATAGAAAATAAGATATTGTAAACACAGTTTCTTTTAAATTATTTTCTTTATTGACTATTAGCATGGATCTTTTAGTTTTTTTTTTTTTTTTTTTTTTTTACTCTCTTCAATATTGATGTATTATTCAATGTTGTTTGCTTAATTTATTGGTTACTTATAATTATTAAAATTGCTTATTAAAAGTCATATTTTCCAATAAATTCCTAATAGGTGTACTTAGGAGGAAAAAAAAAAAAAAAAAGGTAAACTGATCTTAATGCTTTAGGAGTTAATTGGTGATTTATATGGACATGAGTGGGCCCAATATCTGGCTAGCCCAACCCATTTTCCAGGGCCTCTTTGACAGCCCATTATAAATTATTAATTGCATCCTGTATTGACAGATTTATCTTTTTTTTTTTTAATTGATTTTTAATTACTGAAAACGCTTTTAAAACCCTTTAAAAAGTACATCAGATATGATTTTTTTTTTTAAATAAATAAATTTTACTAATACGATTTGGTGACACAAAAAGATAGAAAAAAATAATTATGATTAAATTGTCACTTACCTCCCTTAACTAATTGTTTTTACATTTGAATTAACCATTAACAGATCCTTACTTATCATTCTCTTTCACTACTTCCATAAAAAGGATGTTAAATTCCTTCATTACTTTTTTAGTCAGTCTAAGTTATACAGGAAAAAATTGAAAATGAAATTGGAAGATTTGGAGGAAAGAGAAATTAGTGAGTGACACCTTTTGCGTTATTCTCCTTAAGTAAGGTATTATTATAATACAAATTTTAGAAGAATTTATTACAACTTTGACTTTTACACACCACATTTTGCTTAATTTTAGTATTTTAAGTTACTTAGACATCCCAACTGCAGACGCGTCAAATATGACCGTTATATCTAAAAAATATAACATGAATACATATAAGTAGTGTACGCTACAAATTTAGCACTAAAATAGTTAAATATGTTGTTCATTAATTTATATAAGAAGAGTTAATTATAATTCCATAGAGGTACCACTAAATTAAACTTTTCCATCGGGTTTTTAAACTGAAATTATAATTTATCTCCTATATTCATTGTTTACCCTTGATCAGTTTAATTGAATAATAAAATACTAAAAAAAAAACTAGGGTAAGGGGAAAAATTATTATTTCAGAAACTTGGGTGAGAAATTATTATTTAGTGATACTGACGCACATGATAAATGGGTTTATATCTATCTTTTCAATAAGTTTATAAGTAAATTTTATAAGATTATAAAGATGACTTGTAATAAAATAAAATAAAATGTAAAAATGAAATTTAAGAGAGGCACTTTTCTTTAATCGAATCTATAAATTAAAATTTTGAGGTAAAAAAAGAAAAAAAAAATTCTGTTTCAACAATAGTAATATGTATGTGATCATAATTCATACATTAAAGATGATACAAAATTTAAGTATATTATATTTAAATTTAAATCTATACAATATTAAAGAAGATGGAAATTAATTAATTTGTGTGGTGAAGTGAGCACATCTAATTAGACTCCATCTTTCTCAACTTGTCTTGTCTTCGTCTCCATGGGACCGCCTGTTTAAAGCTTTCACAAATGCTTGTCTGCAGTTACCACAGAATTTAGTTAATTACATAATTAACTTAATTATAACATTAATTACTAGTATAATCAAAAGTCATTTTCACTAAGAAATCAAACTACTTTTTCCACTCCGCCCAGAAATTCAATGGTCTCCCTCTCCCCAAACAAATTCAGTCTTATTAATTATTGTTATTTATTATTATTATTTCTAAAGCTAGATTAGTGGATGATATATAATTGGTCAACTGTAGCTTACAACATTTAATTGAGAATTAATTCTAGGACAATAAAATTAAGCTAAAGGTCAGGAGGACCAAACTTTTCCAAGAGCATGAGCTGATAATATGAAACCCATATAATGATATTGGAAATTATTATAGACCTCATTTTAAGCGAGCGATCATTCATATTTATATGAAACAATTAAAAAATTTGTTCTTTTGAAATCAAGACCAACTAATAAAATGTCCTAAGAATTATTTTTATATGCATTGATTTACGTTGATTGAAACAGTGGAAAATATGCTATAAATTTAACTAAAGGTGCAAAAGATACAAAAAGTTAACCAAAGTTATCATGATGCAATCACAAAAACATGCATGGAAAGTAAAGAATAATTCTTTTTGCTCATAAAATTTTGTTTTAATCTATCTATCTATCAAAATTTAGAAAAAAATGTCACAAAATTTGTTAAAAATTAGATGCTTTACTTACCCACATATGTGATGAACTTGTGTGAGACTTAAGACTCAAAAAGCTCACTGATCTCTTCCTCACTCTTGTAATCTTCACCTTCGCACCTCCGTCACTGCCACCATCTCCACCTCCGGAGGCGGAGGAAGAATCTAAAGTGTCAGAATTTCTCCCCCCAACATTCACCTTATTCTTCTTGAAACTGCCCCACCTACTGGACCAAAACAGAAGCCCCTCCTTGTTCTCCCTCCGTAATGACCCTCCTCTCCGAAACGACAACGTATAAGACAGAGACCGACCCACGTCCGGCCCGTCCAGTACGGTGGTTGGCGATGGAATATTGATCATTTTCGTTTCACATAACAGCCGTGGAGGAAGTTCCAGGCACCGCGCACTGGAGGGCTTCGGCTTAGATTGAGTCACGCAACTGTTTCTCGGCTTCCCCGGAGCTTCCTCCCATTGAAACGGAATCGACGCCGGGATGTTTACCGGCGGAGTCAACATCCCCGGTGGCTCTTGGCCCTTACTCATCGGAAATGAAAACAAAGATAGTTTTGGTGTTGAACATGGATCATTAAAATTAAAATCTGGTTCTGAATCCATTTTAATTTCTCGGTGAAAGGAATGTTGAGATGGGAGATTTATGGAGAGGAAGGTGATGAATATTGTGAAATGTGAGGGTGACAAAAACGCTCCTGGCGCTTCTTCTTCACGAGAAAATGTGGAGTTTTAATGTATAAATAAATTTGTAACAGAGAGTGAGAGATTGGACCCACAGTTGGAAAGTTTGGATGAATTTTGATTGGGTGATAACGGCCGTGGCAATCAACGGTCATATGCCGTCTGTGGTCTTGTTGAATTGTTCTTCTTCTTCAATTATTTATTTTATTTACTTAATCACTAGGATTTTAAGTTATTTGATACGTGTCGTTTGTCCCATTTAAACTTTTTATATCACACCTCCAACATTTACGCGTCATCCATATGAAAAACCCTAATATGCATTTGATATATCATCTAATTTTTCTGCCAAATCAATAAGTTTATGCCATGCATATATTATTTTATGTTTATATATAGACATAAAAAAAAAAAAAAAAAATGCAGAATTGAGACGGTTAGATTAAGGTCACGATACCCAAATGAGTTAAATTTGTAACGGTTATGATTCTTGTTGGGTTCCAGTTTAAAGTCTTTGTGAAACTACCAAAGCCGGCTCTTTTCTGCAACAAATTAATTAAATAAACAAGTGAAATTTAGAATATTTGTGCACTTGGAATTGTCGATGTGGATAAAATATTAAAAGTGTTGGATACTTATCATCATCGTTATCATCTTCAACATGCAATTGCATGGCATATACGCCATGCTAATGCCCATCTTTCGAGACCAAAGACTTGGTCATTTACTAGATTTAGTCCACACAAAACTAGCTGGCTAGGCATTCTTGCCTCTTCACAAAAGGGGTAATTTCTGTAATCTTCCTGATCTTTACTGTAACATCAAACAACTTTATGAGATTTGAAGATTATGTGTGTCATTAGCTTGCGTTGACTAGGCCTCTGTCCTTTTTATATATTCTATCAATGGTTCCTATTAATTGAATGATCCGATAAAGTTTTTTTATTTCGCAGTGATATGGGCAGTTTTCTACTTGCAAATCCATTGAATCTTATCATTTAAAGTAAAGAGAAGTCATAACAAGCTTTCAGTAGGTGAACTTGCAGAAAGATTATTGTCAAAACCTACCCAGTAGAATGACCCACACTCATCTCGAGGGCACACAAACCTCCTTTAGCCTTCGATAGTATTATTTGCTTAATGAAATTGAGGAGACTTGCTTATTTTACAACCATAGGGGATGTGTTTAAGATTTCACTAAAAATTAGGGGAAGATGAAATTGGAACTCTTTATAAAAAGAAAATGAGTGATGCTATGGGTACTAACGGATGGGTACTAATCTGTGTACTAACTAAAGCATAGTACCCATACTATGCATATAGTACCCGTACTATGCTTTAGTTAGTACACAGATTAGTACCCATTTGTTAGTACCCAAAGTATTATTCAAAGAAAATAGAGTTAAGTGTAATTTTCCATCTGAGATGCATGAGAAATCACTTAATAATTTCTCCCCTTCAGATATACAATATTTGGAATAGTAATTTAGCCCCTTGTTATATTATGTCAATAGGGTTTCAATCATCTTGTATGAGAAGCAAGAATTCGAGAAAAATCTAAGAAAGGGGTGTAATCTTAATTATTGATAACAACTAACTTATAATGTAATATAACTTTCTTTATATACTGAGCTAATTCAGAGACTAAGAGAGTATAGAGTAAAGTAACAAAGTGAAGAAGAAGCTGCTGGAATCATTATAACCGATTTCTAACAACTTACCTAAACGACACCGTTCAGCAAAGTTACAAACAAGACCACACAGTTTGATTTATGAAAAACTGGTCCTTTTCACAAATATACACAGACATTCCCCCTGAAACTGGACGACTGGATTTCCTTAGTTCTCTCTTCATCACTTTACTGACATTCCCTCTGGAACTTGACTGGATTTCTTCAGTTCTTTTCATTTTCATCACCTGACTGAACCTTGTAACATATTATCCCTTACTGACATTCCCTCTGGAACTTGACTGGATTTCTTCAGTTCTTTTCATTTTCATCACCTGACTGAACCTTGTAACATATTATCATACAAAATCAATTAAGAAAGAAATCTGCACTAATTCTGCCAACAATTGCTGCTATTCATTCTCTTCTTTAGAAATTAACTTCTGCTAGTCAACATATATGCACAAAATTTTCAAACAACACCACTTCACAACATAATGCTACTGCAACTCTCGACTAAAATTATCTTCACAACATAATGCTGCTGTTCTGCTATTTTCGGCTAGAATGAACTTCTCAACATAATGCTTCTGGAGGAATAACTTCTTAATTGCAAACAACTTTGCATTGTCAAGTGTTTAAGCTGAATATTCAGAATTTCAGTATGGTCAGATCGTGCATACTAGGAATCTGCTGCAAGACTCAATGTTCCTTTGTATTATAAATGCACTATCCTATCTTTTTTGTTGATGACATTTAGTTTCTTTCTCAGCTCAGTAAATTGGGCTGCTGACAAGGCTTTAGTAAGAAGGTCAACAATTTGAAAAGTAGATGGTACATATTGAATAAGTAGTTTCCTAGCCAACACTTGCTCACGAATATAGTGAGCATCAATTTCAATATGTTTGGTACATGAGTGGAACACAGGATTGGCTGCAAGTGCCCCCGACACTTACATTATCGCACCAAATAACAGGAGTACTATTAAATTTCAAACCCGATTAAGCAAACATACTCTTAAGTCAAGCAATTTCAGTTGCCGTGTGTGCTAAGGCTCTATATTCAGTCTCAATAGAAGAAAGGGCTACAACTTTCTATTTTCTGGATCTCCATTGAATTAAGTTGGGTCCCATGTAAACGCAGTAACCACTCGTGGATCTCTATCTTCCAAGTTGCTTCCCCAGTTAGCATCAACATAGCACTCTACTGTGAATGTGCTGGCAGGTTTGAAGTGAAAACCATAGTGAAGAGTACCTTGAATATATCTTAAAATTCTCTTGTAGGTCTGCCACTGAAGTTTTGTTGGAGTGTGCAAGAATTGACTCAGCTTATACATAGGGAAGCTGATGTATGGTCTTGTTAGAGTCAGATATTGGAGAGCTCCAATGGTACTTCTGTAGAGAGTAGGGTCAGCAAATGGAGCACTATCGGTGGAGTAAAGCTTGGTACCCACAACCATGGGAGTGGCACATGCATGACACTCCAGCATTTTGGTTTTGGAAAGAAGATCAGAAGCATACTTACTCTGCTTCAAGTGAATACCAGCAGCTGTTCTGGTTGCTTCTAGACCCAAGAAGTAATGGAGAGACCCAAGAGTCTTGAGAGCAAATTCATCATTTAAATCTTGCATGAGTTGAGCAATAAAAACCTGATCTGATCCTGTAATTAAAATGTCATCTACATACACAAGAACATAGGTTAGAGCAGATTTTTGATTAAAAACAAATAGGCTGGAATCAGAGATTGAATTCTGGAAGCCTTTGTTGTAGAGATCAGCCTTTAACTTGTCAAACCAAGCTCTTGGAGCTTGTTTTAGGCCATATAGTGTCTTATTCAACTTACAAACATAAGAAGGCTTAGTGGAGTCTTCAAAACCAAAGGGTTGTCTCATCTAAACTCCTTCATTCAAGGTGTCATTCAAGAAAGCATTATTGACATCCATTTGCTGTACATCTCACCCATTGGTGACTGCTAAGGTGAGAATAATCCTAATAGTGGAGGGTTTTACAACTGGACTAAAGGTCTCAAAATAGTCCAGACCTGAAGTTTTTTGAAACCCGTTGGCTACAAGTCTAGCCTTGTACTTTTGAAGTAAACCATCTGCATTATATTTTGTTCTAAATACCTATTTATTGCCCACAATATTTTTATTGGGATGAGGAGGCACAAGAGTCCAGGTTTCATTCTTTAATAATGCATTAAACTCATTTTGCATTGCTTCTTTCCATTCAGGACTAAGAAAAGCTGTAAGAGTTGTGTTAGGTTCAGGAACTGCAGCACTTGTTCCAGCACTAAAAAGGGTTGTATAGTCAGCTATATCAGAAGGTTTAACACCAGTAAGAGCTGTATAATCAGCCACATTAGAAGATTCAGTGCTGAGAAGAGCTGTACAATCATCTCTGTTAGAAGCAGCTGACTTTTGAAGGGCTACTGCTACTGTTTTGGATCTGGTTAACATAGAGTGTGTATTGCAAACAAGAGGTCTTACAATAGGAAAATCAGTAGGCTTTGTTGGTGATGTGAGATCCACTTCAAGTGAGCAATATGGTATGGACTGAGAAAATGAGATAATAAGAAGAGAGGCCACCGAAGGGTATGAGTTAGGCTTACAAAGGGCAAGAGAAGATGTAGGTGAATTAGGCAAAGTTTAGGCTTACAAAGGGCAAGAGAAGATGTAGGTGAATTAGGCAAAGTTGGAGAGGAAGAGTGCATCTGTGTGTAGGTGAATTAGGCAAAGTTGGAGAGGAAGAGTGCATCTGTGTGTTATTTAGTAAAGGTGATACTGCTGATGTGTTTTTCAAAGTAGGAAAGGTGAGGCTTGTGTTAGGTGGTGTTGAGGAATCATGTCTAACTGATTGCATTTGATCAGACTTGCTGGAAGAGATAGTTACTGCAACAGGTTCTTCAGAAGGTCTTTTGAAGTGATCAAAAGAGATTTTAGTAAAAGGAAATGATGAATTGAAAACAGGACAAGAGTCTGAGAACTCACGAACTGACTTGGCAACTGACTTAGGAATTGGTTTATTAGCTGTATTAGAACAAAAATTTGCAAGAGAGAAAGGGAATTCTTGTTCATTGAACTTAGCACTAGGTGTGACAAAAAGTTTTCCATCTGGTCTAAGACATTTGTAACCCTTATGAACAAGACTATATCCAATGAAAACACATTTGGTAGAATGAAATCTAAATTTGCATTGATTAAAGACTCTAAGATGAGGAAAACAAGAGCACCCAAAGACCTTTAGACTATCATACATAGGAGACATGTTAAACAATTTTTGATATGGTGAAATGTGGTTGAGAACAGGTGTAGGCATTCGATTTATTAGATAAACAGTTGTTTCAAAGG